TATATATATATATATATATATATATATATATATATAAATAAGAGTTATAACTACACCATTGTAACTTTTATTAAGTATTACACCGTTCAACTTTATCTTAAATGTGAATTTTGTAAATCCAACCGTTATATTGAAAGTTCATCTAACTTTATATGTGTATATCAAATTTTGTTAAATTTGAACAACAACTTGAAGGTAATCAAAGTGTTCATATTTTAGAATATTTTGAAATGAATATATTACGTCAATTTTGTTTTATAAAAATGAAGTATTAAATCATTTTGGATTAATATAAAATTTTGTATATATGATCTAAGAGTAAAAAACTTTCAATTTAACAGTTGGATGTACAAAAATCACATTTAATATAAAGTTATTGAGTTGTGTAATACTTAGTAAAAGTTACACCGGTGTAATTATAATCCCCCTCACATATATATATATATATGAGTTAAATAATAAAAAATGTTATCTAGTATAAAAATAATTCTTCTTGATTAAAGGTAACAAAATTAATATTTATAGTTTTTTAATATTATTCCATTTTAATTATTTTGATTTAAAACTAATCATTAAGTTTTTATTTTTATTTTCTTTTGCATTTACAAAAATTTTAAAAAAATATGACACTTCTATTAAGAAGTCGTTGATTCTCCATGTCTCATTTAGAATGTGTTGGCAACTTAGAACAAATTAAACATAATTTTATATCTTTTAAAACCAATTTTTTCTCCCAATCAATTATATGTAACAATTTAAAGAACTACATAAAAGAATAAATTAAAATTTTAGTTATTAATAATGAAAATAAAGATTCAAATATGTATTATAATATTGTGTACAAAGAAATTTTCAATAATTTGTAATAATTAACAAGTTAATATATATATATACATCATTTTAATTATTTTTAATATTATTATACTTTATATTTATTATTGTTATTAATTTTTATTTATACAAATAATTAAATATCAAATCACCTGGGTTACTAAAATAAATCGCATATTGCACGGTGTAGAATCTAAAATCAGGCGGTGAAGGGAGATAATGATCAAGATTGCATGTTTATATGCAATCAATGTATCATGTGTAATTATCAAAGGAAGCATGTGTGAATCCGCGTAAACAATTACTATTAAAAATAATATATTTATTAAGAAAGTGAAGTTATTTTAATAAAAAAATTGTATAAAAAAGTAATATATTTATTATTATTTATTTATTTTAATATATGTGTAAAAAATTTAAGGTTTAATTGTATTTTTTATTCTTCAAGTATTGTAATTGTACAATTTTGATCCTCAATATTTTAATTGAAAAATTTTAGTCCTTAAAAGATTGTAATTGTATGATTTTAGTCCCTTAATTTTTAATTGAAGAATTTTAGTCCTTTAACTATTATAATTGTGTGATTTTAGTCTTTTTCATTAAAAATTTAGTAATTTTAGAATATATATATATATATATATATATATATATAATGTTTTAAAATTATACAACTGCTTACTTATTTAAGTTAACATATATTATAATTTT